CCCAACAGAGTTGGGTCTTTATATCATTCTGGCCTTTGCTCAAATATTATCTCTTTGGAAAGGCTTTCCTTAACACTGTATACGAAGAGGAAGCGGCCCTGCTACCCTCATCTTATCACTCCATCATTTTCTACCATTTTACCTATTTTATTATTTTTACAGTTATCATTATCTAAAATTATATTATTGATTTCTTAGTTTACTTATTATCTAACCCTCACTTAACGGAAGTAGAGATCCTGCCTTGCTTATTTCTGGATCCCAAGCACCAAAGTGTCTGGTATATAATAAACACCTCACAGAAACCCTGGTTGGGGGAATAAAGGGCTCCTTCTTGGGGCTCTCGTGGAGAAAGAGGTAGCTGGAAGCAGCAAGAGTAGAAACCTGGACAGCAAGCCACTGCCACTCAGCACCTGTGCTACCTCCAGTCTACTGGGCTGGGCTTGGCAGTACTCACTACTGCCCAGAAAGGTAAGTGCTCTAACAGGAGTACAGGAAGGTGAGCGATAAGGGCTGCCCCCCTAAGTCAGCTTCAGTGGAGCAAATCTCACATGGTGATCATAGTTCATCTGCTGGTCCTGACTGCTTGAAAAAAACATGCTGGATGCGTGAGCGTTCATGCCCAAAACCCTGATAAGAAAGAGGAATGGAGTAAAAAAAAGATTGTGATGTGACCAGGCCCCACTGGAGGGTGCTTTCTCTCTCTCTCTAGTGAGTGTACTCATTCTCTGTCAGGAAAAGCAAAAAAAAAAAAAAAAAAAAAAAAAAAAACCCTGTATAAGGACTCTTAAAAAATTAATAGAAAATGCACATGATGGAAAAAAAAGGGAAGATAAGTGGTCAGATGAAATGCCATGAAGGAAAAAGGAAAGCAAACCAAACCATCATTTTGTTGATGTTTTCCTCTCCTCATTAGAGATTAATTCCCAAATTAGGCTGGAGAATAAGGATTCAACTATTCCCACTTACTTCTACAATATAGCAATTTTGAAGGAGAAAAACCCAATAATTTTGAAGAAATAGACTGATTTTAAATTGAATAGCACCAGCAATCTTAACCAAACTATTATTTCAGATTACAAAGTATATCTGTTCTATCCCATGGATTGTTTTCCTACAGATGGAGACTTCCATATGGCTGAAGAGTATCCTAGTGAAGAAAATATAAGCCAGAAGCTTCCGTACTTAAAAAAAAAAAAAAAGAACTCAGACTTAATGGTGAATATCTAGGTATCAATATCCTAAAAAGTCAGAAAACAAGGTAAGATGCCAGTACCAATCTCCACTAGAAAGCCCATATGCTGCCCCCACCCTTTCAATATACCCACTGTAACACCCTTCTCCATAGCATATTGATTTGTTTCAGAGTTTGACTTCGGTTTTCCTCTTTCCTAACTACTTGGCTTTCCCTTGAGCACTAATAAAATCAGGTCTACTTAATGTAAAGCGAAAGAGGAAACCAAAATGATCCCAAACCATGGGAATGGACCCCCAGCCTTCATGTGCATACTCCTTAACTCACAGTGCTTCTTGTCAGTTCACTAAAACAGCTTGGAATGTCTTAAAAGATGTGAGCAGTAATCAGAACTCCAACATGGCAGAATATCTCTCATATACCCTTTCCTACCTGCAGCATCCTATTAACATTTTCTTGGAAAAGAACTAAAACAACTAATAACCATCCAACCCTGCATTCCTACTGAAAAACATTCCGGAGTTTCAGTGTATGTAAGCCCCACAGAAACAGCCAGTGCAGTGGAGGTTTAAGGTGGCTGAAGTCCACATGGCAGACTACACAGTTCGAGTCCTGGACCTGTTGGCTTAAAAAACATGCCGGGGGTGTGTGTGTGCATGTCCAAAATCCCGAGATCCCGAAATGAGAGTGGAAAAAGGACTGAAACGCAGCCATCCCCCTAAGGGATGGTTTCTCACTCTTTCTCTCTTTCTTTCTCTGTCCCTCTCTCTCCAACAAGCAATATGCCTTGTAGCAAAAGAAAGAAAGAACGAAAGGAAGAAAAAAAGAGAAGGAAAGAAAGGAAGAAGGGAGGGAGGAAAGGAAGAAAAGAAGAACGAAAGAGAGAAAGCAACCAAGAAAGCAAACAAACCCCAGGCAATTCTTTTGAACTACATCATCACCCCTAAGTCAATAACAGAGAATTTAGAAGAGGTGTTCCGAAGCAACAACTTTACCCTTTTATTTTCTCAAAGGTCACATTTTAGATAGATAAAGCTAAGTTGGATACTCATAAAATTCATTCAAACAAAAATCCCAATTCATTTCTTAAAAACAGGATTATGAGAAATTGACATTTTTTAGTAGCTGGGAAGGTGAGATCACAGTCCTTAGTCTATTTATTTCTCTTTTAAACAACCATTACTTCTTGATGTGATTTTTGCAATTCAAAAAGTATTAGATGGGACCAGCAGTTAGTGTAATGGCTATGTTGCTGGACTCCCACGTAGTCAACTGCGGTTCGCGTCCTGGACCCGGTGGCTTAAACTTACGCCGGGTGTGTGTGAGTGCGTGCCCAAGATCCTGAG